CAACATGACCAGAACTCCCAAGTTTAAATAGTTCCCTGTTTCCCCCCTTTTTCCTCAGGGTTACAACCTGGGAAACATCACCAGTAACCACCATTCTAATCTTTAGCTCACACTAGTTGAATGTGTTAGTTGGCCAGTGCTGTCTTACATTGCTACTTTAGCTGGGGCTCATGGGGACTTATTCAGCTTCTAGAAAAGAGGTTAGAAATGTTGTCCTACAAAAATCTGGAGGCAACCTAAATCTTACTGTGAAAATATATGAATATTCTTGCTGAAGTGTACTTGTCCTGGACGCCAATGAAAATGTAATGGTTTGGGGTGCTCGTTTTGCAGACCTCAAAGGAAGATCTACTGCAAGCTGATTTTGAAGGTGCTTTGAAGTTCTTCAGAGTTCAGCTTCCTAAGAGATACCGGGCAGAGGAAAATGCAAGAAGATTGATGGAGCAGGCATGCAATATTAAGGTAAGAAATATGAATGTATAGATAATAAAGCTGGAACTTAAATGCAGAAGAACATCACAAATTATGTAAAAGCTAGTTTTCCTATATATGTTTCTTAAGGCGCTCTGGTACTGTGGCTTAAGCATTGTTTTACTAACTTCAAGGCCAACAGTTCAAACCCACCAATTGTTCTATGGGAGAAAGATGAGGCTGTCTGTGCCTATAAAGATTTATAGAAACCCGTTTGAGCAGTTTTTCTGTCTTAAGGGGTCACTGTGAATCTAAATTTATTCTGTGGTATTGTATACATTGTTGTTGGGTTTTGACTGTGCTTAAAGTAATTGTGTATCCACTAGGTCTGCCAGATTATTCCAACAAGCTAGTATGTATATGTAGTAGCTGTACCTTCTAGTAAACCTTAGAGTGGAAATTGACAGGTTCAGAGTAAAATAATACAAAGACAAACATTTATTCCATAGGTGGGACTCTAGCATGGAAGACTGTGATCGTGGTTTCCATAGCAACACACTTAGTGTTTGGCATTTGACATCTGTTTTAAGCTTATTTAGGACAGAGCAAGAAAATCCTGCTTGGGCACTGATTTCCTTTCACTGGGAGACTCAGAGAGCTTTGAATCTTGATTCACATATTCTCATCCTAATGTCCATAGGTCCATTGGTCCTTGTCAGGTGGCTGATAAAACTAATCATATTTTGTGAGCTGATTTGAAATTGTGATCTCTTATATGCAGAAGGTTGTATTAGTAAAGTGTGAGCAGTTCTTTTTAAGTCAGAACTCATTTATTGATGCTAATTCTTGTATTTCTGGAATATGCTTGATGATCTTACTGAACCATGACTTGAATATAAATTTGTTTCATGAGCTAAACAGAAAAAGATGCCAATTCTTAAGGATGTTTCATTCTTACAGAAGGAAACAGACAATAAGCAATTGACATAATAAATTGAAAATATATACTTAAAACTAGCCATGAATATAGCAAAAGTAGGACAAGATAAGGGAGATTGGATTGGTGGATAAGTGAAGGATGAGGTTTGTTTATGAATAATCAGAGTAGAAATTATCAAGAGGTAAAGGAGATGGGATGGAGGAGGGATTATTCTTGGCAATATCTGTATTCCAGGCAGAGGTTACAGCCAGCTGAACGACCCTGAAGCTAGTTGGTACCTGAAGGGTTTGGGCAGTAGTAAGAAGACCTATGTAAGGAGAGTGAAAGAGGGACCAGACTTCAACCTGGTGTGCCAAAACATAAATGCAACATACAGGGAACCAATAGAGAGGCCTTCAGGGTACCACCCACCCTAGAGGAATGCACTTCAGAGGACAGCACTGAAGCTGCAGCTCAGGAAGAAGGGAGCATCTGATCAAGAGCAAACAAAGAGGAAAGGACAAAGAGTGGAACACATCCCAGCCCACCAATCCCTAAGGACAATATCCCAGCTCAGAGCAAGCCAAGGCATAGAGAGGACCACGGGCCGGCTCCACCATGAGACACGAGGTCCCTCACTGACCCATAGTGCTAGAGGAGACAGCCCTGGGGACACAGTGAGGGACATGTGCCTGATCCAGCCCCGCCGCACCAGAGCAAAACATTAAGGACAAGCAGTGGAACAGCAAGGGGAGCAAAGCAACGAAGTCCCCAAGGAATGCCAAAGGTGGACTTTGGGGCCAGGACGTTGGCACCCCAGCAGACTTGACTGGAAAACACTCATAAAGGTCAGCGGACAGACCTGGAACTGTTTGAGTGCTTTTCTTTT